AAAGGGGAGCTCTGAATTTTTGGCAAAATCATCAGCTTTTTTTTTTTTTTTTTTTTTTTAGATATAACAAACCTAAAGGAAGCAAATAAGATAAGTTAATTGTTAGGATTAACATACACTTTAAGAGCCAAACAGGAGACACATATTGAGAATACTAATGGTAAACAAGTTAAGTTAAGGTAACCCAGCTTGTCCACTTGCCACAGCAGGGAAGACCTTACAATTCACACTTTAAAATATACAAAACCTTTGATCACTGAAAAGCAAAAATGCAATGTCCAACTTCCCTACTCAATATTATGTTTATTGCTACAAGTCTTTGTTGATGAATGTAAGAAAGTCAGAAATTGAGAAACAAGGATTGAAGGTTCTTTAGCGTTCTCATGTATTTGAGCACCAAAACCATATTTGGTTAATTATATGTATTTGAAAAGAGTTTATGCCACACAAGTACTCTAACTCCATTTTTCCTTTCTTCATGCAGTTCCTCAGTAATCTCATCTTGGATTGATAAGCAGTTCCAGTAAGTATTAGTATATAGCAGTAGATGCTACAAGAAAGACTACAAGTAATGCTGGCCATCGGCATTAGTAACCTGTCAGGCATACATGTGCAATCCAATTGTTTCCCAATGCCTTTTGTGTCAACTTCTGCCCTAAACATGAACTCTCTTGATTGGGCAATAGAGGAGGGAGGGGGGAGTTACCTAGTGTAGAATTATCTATAGGGAAAACAGTAATGATTGTATGTACCCCAGAAAATCCTGTTCATGGCTGTTGGGCACTACCCCATAAACATTAGATCTCTGCCTGATCCATGCAAAAATAATTAGGGAGCCCAGCATCTTAAGTCTTTGAGAGCATTATGGGGCTGATGTATAAAGGCCTGCGCTTGGACATTACTGCTGCTATATGAAGGAAAAAGAGAAGGAAGGAAAGAAAGAAACATATGTATTGCAATTCAAGCTAAAGTCCAGGCAAAGAGCTAAATGTGCAGTTAAAATACATACTATACATACCTTCCAACTGTCTTCCAAATGGAGGGGCTGTCCGTCATTTGGAACCAAATCTCTTTATTCCTCGTTCCTCCTTGGTTGTCCCTCATTTTGGTCTGATATACAGATGTTGTATCAGGTAAACAATACAAAAAAAGCTCAGGGAATACTGACTGAACATGTATAGCATGGTGGTGCCGTTCCTGAAATATAGCACATGCATCAAAAACATGAATCAGGCACTTATGTATTTTGGTTTAGGAAGTTCGTATTAGCTGAAGAGGATTTCAGTGCAGAAATGGTGATTGCGGAAAAAAGAAAATAAGGGTTGCATGAGCGCTAGGGGTACAAGGAGGGTTAGGGCTACAGGGAAGGTTAGGGATAGTGTAGGACTTCACTCTTTGCATAGACAGCTCTGATCTGAAACCACCCTCACTGATCTTCTGGTGCTGAAAGCTAATATATTGACAAATATATGCAATGTAAATATACATTTTCACTCATGTTTGCTTTGTTTCCATTTTGCAGCTGGAGGTCAGAATGAGATCTACCTGGATCTTTCATTTAAAAATGCAAAGAAAATAAAGAAATTTGTCTTCATCATATGTTTTGTCTTGTCATGTAATATTTACTATCGTATGTGGTGTATTCTAAATAAGCGCTTGTTACTATATGTGAAACATTTGCTTCTTTGTTCTTGTTAACTGTTGTTGTGCCATTTCTTTACTGTAATGTGTGTTTTTGTGTTGACGTATTCTCATGTAAAAGCTATATTCTGTATGTCCTGTATACAGGTCCTTGTTCATGTATTAATTGCTGTATGTCATAATATAAAAAGCATGTTCGATGAATTGCAGATGGCAAAAATGCAGTTAGTTGGTTCTAAGGACTATGGTTTAAAACTATGTGTCTTATAGCCTTTGTTGCTCACAGAATACATGTAAGTAAATTGTTTCAGAAAAAGCTTAAAAAAAGAAAACACTTGTGACTGAATACGTTTAGGATATTGCTTAAAGCACTCAATTATTTGAGAGTGAAAGAATAAAATGGACCTTTGACTATTTGTTTTTCATTCCCTAACTCCTCTCTATTAGGCATTTGATAAAAATATTTGTTTTGTAACCTTTAAATAATGTATAATTGCTCTCCTACCCTCCCATTTTCATTTGCTGAAGTATTGCAAGATTTATGCAGGCACGGCTTCTCACAATACTTTGGCTCTCACTGACCCGCAGCATTCTGCGATGTGTAACGTGAATATCCCAGGAAGCTCTGGGCGGCTTAAGGTACGTCACTTTTGCCTAGGCTAGAAATGTGAGGGTTCAGGGGCAATATTGAACTAATAACAGGTCACAAAACATAAAGATTTTTAGCAAATGTCTAATAGAAAGGAGAGAGGTAGGGAATGGGCAAACTACTATAAATGGTCAACAGTCCATGTCAGGGATTTGATGTTTTCTGGCATATAGTTGAGACATGATGATATTATCATATTCACTGTAACACAAAGAATCATGAAACTGAACCTGTACTCTGTTTTAAAATTGTAAATGCCTCAAAGCAGGACAAGCTTAGTAAACCTTAACCTATGTAAGTCTCTGATTTAGGAGTCCAGTGATGTACTTTACAAATGTGCATTGCACTGTACTTTCTTCAGGAGATAGAGCCATGTGACCTGTGAAAAAATCTGTGACTGGCTTCTCTCCCAATCATGGAGTTCTTTCTGCAATCTTAGGCAGCCAGAACTCTGTGACGCACTGCAGGATCTACACAATGGCCTGCATTTTATGAATGGGCCATGATGTGAAGTAACTTTGTATTTAACACCAATTGTAATTGTTCTTGTGATCTCTACTTATTCTGATATTTTAGTACAAAAAAAGCCTCCCACAGCTCACAGTCTGATGGGTATAAAATAGTTATGTACATCTGAAGTGAAAAAGAAGATTTATTTTTAATTCTCAGGTTGTCCACATTATGTGCATGATCAGCTTTACTTTCTGCACATTCAATCACCAAACTGCAAGCAGCAGTAGAGTTGAATTAGAGATTCACTGCTCCACTAAATTGCAATATGTTATCCAACTCACAGGGAGGACTCACAGGGAGGACTGCTGGTTGGGCTGATCCTTATTGTTGCGCATATACAGTATATGTTCAGGCAGGTCTGCAAATTTTTATTGATAAAGTTAGTGGCAAGTCAGAGGATCCTTTTCATCTCTTAAAATGGAGTGAGGGATGATGGAAAGTTGTATGAATATAACTATGAGCTCATCATTATTTCTGCAGTATGTTTTTGTGTGTTGTATGCAACTGCAATATATTTGAGAAGACAGAAAAAGCAATGTGTTTAGGATGACCTTTTAGATGTTTATAGTAAATGTAGCATATATACAGTTATAGGTAAAATAGTAAGTAAGAAAACTGATATTCAAACAAGATTAATAGATGAAAAGAGTATACTTTATTCCTTTAGCAACACTACATAGTTGTTTGTACAGTCCTGTGTACAGGGTCAAAAAGGGTCACACTTATTTGGCATTGGCTGTGATAGCTGCAGGCTGATCACTGCAGTACACAGAGTCCAATAACCATGACATAATGATCTAAGGTAAAAAGATTTATAAATTACAGTTGTACTCGTGTTATGATTTGTGGAATAGCTAGGCATTACTAGTACCGTGATAGTTGCAGTACAACTCCAGCCAAAGCGTTCTATGTTTTTTGTCTGTGACCCTAACAGGGAAATGTCTTGCTTTCTGTTCAGGTGTTTTTGATTTCTTGCTTTCTGTCCAGGTGACAAGGACTTAGATGAACAAGAAATGGTGGAAAATCTCTACAATGTGGACACACAGGCACAAAAAAAAAAGTTTTAGTGGGGAAATGTTAGAACCTCTGTCTCAATGACCCCTGCCCAGATAGCAAGTAATAGAGCTGCAAGTTTGAAAATGACTTGCTAAACTATTGCAGACTTGCCAAGCTTCACAATTTTGTTGCACAATTACAGCAAGTCTGCATTGCAAGTCTCCAGACCAGCCAGCTTGCAGAGCTCTTGCTCTGACCTGCAGGACTCTTGCTGTAGACTTGCAAAGCAAATTTGCTACAAATTCAAAAAGTGTCAACTAGAACTTGTGCTGCAAGTGTTCTGCAAGTCTACAACTGCCAGGAATTCTACAAGTCTACAACTTGCAGCAAGTTAACAAAAATTACAATTTCACACTGCCACAAGCTTGTAGCAAGTTATCCTTGGTATCTGGGTGTACCCCACATTTCTTGTCCTGATGTCACTGGGCAGGGAAAGCTCTTCTAAGCAATAAAAGCTGAATAGAAGTTATAATCCTTCCCCATTTCAACTAAAACGTGAAACAAAATGTTTTGCTTGTAGTTTTATTTCTGTTGAAAAATGCCAACAGTGGCATGCAGATGAACAGACAAACTAAAAATTGAAAATGCAGGACATTTACTGAATGGGTTTTGTTCTCAACATCATGCTCATTCTAAGCATGATGAGTATCCATTTACATACAATATTTAGTGCAGGTATAACCATCAGAGTGCACATGTGATGGTATTTTGCAAAACCATGTTAAATAGACCTGAATGTGTTATAAATTCTGCTATAGAATGTTCACTTAGCCCAGTGAAGCTCTGTTTACTTCAATCATCCAATCATGTGCAAAAGAAAATCTAATGTGTTTAGGTGCCCTTGCACATGATTGGGTGTTTGAAGTAAAAAATAATCAATACATCTTCCGTATTTCAGCTCCTGGTATAAAGCACAACAAAGCATTTATAACGGATGCTGCCTAATGTGAACAGATTTTTCTGAGCTTCATTGTACTTGTTTTTGTACACTATGCTAGATTGTACTTTGCAATATGTTGTATGGGCTCTGTAACATTTGTCATATGTACAAATATAAGAATGGGACAGGTAAATATATATTTTGCATAGATCCATGTACAGTTACTAGTTTTAGACTCAGTAACTATAGAAGAGAGTGGTACTGTGATAAGTGTGTTTGTGCCAATCCTTTTTTTCAGAAACATTCATTGACAGTTGGCTTTTAATTAATCAGCATGAATATGATTAAGTCAGTCACCAAAGTTCATCAAGGAGACCTCACCAAATAGTCAGCAATTTATTATAGGAAATATTGGTATTGTGGCAGCTATGAGCTGTTATAGTTTGAAGTGCACTGCAGTAGAAGCATTTTCTTTACAGCTGCTCACAGAAAAAGACAAGAAATGTACTCTGCTTTTAGAGAGGAGGAGATGTTCATGCCTTGTCATTTGCTGTTAATACTTGATAGCTATGCATACATGACCCTACATGAGAAAAAAACAATTATTTTTTGCAAACGGTTAGATCCTGTTCTAGTAGGCAACATGCAAGCAAGAAGGAAGGTGTATCCGTGAAAAAGTAACCAGCAAGCACTAACGCTATTGATTGTGCCCATCATTAGAATAACAAAAATGCTTGTCACTAGCAGGGGTTATTACACTCTTCATTAATTCTTT